GTGCTACACAGTAGGACCTTGTTGTTTATCCATGCTATACATAATAGTTTGTATCTGCTAATCCCAAGCTCCCAGTCCATCTCCCCACTCTTCCTCCTCTCTGATAACCACAAGTTTGTTATCTATGTGAGTCTGTTTCTGTTCCATAGATAAGTTCACTTGTGTCATATTTTAGATTCTGCATATAAGTATCATATGGTATTTGTCTTTCTCTTTTTGACTTACTTCACTGAGTATGATAGAATTCAATTCATTTATTTTAATGGTTATTTTTGTTTGTTTGTTTGTTTGGCTGCGCCGCATGGTAGCTGTCGCACTTAGGATCTTTGATCTTCACTGCAGCATTCAGGATCTTTTAACTGTGGCTGGTGGGATCTGGTTCCCTGACCAGGGATGGAACCGGGCCCCTTGCTTTGGGAGTGTGGAGTCTAAGCGAGTGGACCACCAGGGCAGTCCTGTTTTCAACTCGTTTAAACAATGGTATACCAAATAACAGTTAGAAGCAATGAGTGTGCTTTCTATGTACTGATATAGAAGAGTGTACATGATTTAGCAAGATTAGCAAGTTCATCAAATCAAAATGAACTAAATAATAGCATAGATTTATACACATATTTTGTAAAGGTATTATTTTAAAAGGTGGTAGAAATTAGGAAGATATCCACAAAAATTAACAATGATCATCTCTGATGAGCATATCAGAGTTGGAGGAAGTAAACTGCCTTGCTGTAGCTAAGCTTCCTATGACTCACCCATCCGTAAGTCTCCTGGTTATCAGGTCCCTGGGAAAGCAAGAACCGCACAGGCCAGAAAACCCCTCAGACCCCTAGGACCAGCCAGGACACACATCTCATGCTCAGGTGGCCTCAAGCACTCTTCTTCTTTTTTCCCTGAGGACCTCAAGGTCTCAGTGAGGAGATGGGGGGTCGGTCAGACACTGCACAAGCAGGACCCCACTGCCTGCTGCTGGCCTCTGAAGACCCACTTGGCTCTAGTGAGGCCCTGGTGCCCTCAGGGTCCCAGCCCCAGGGATCACTGAGAAGTGCATGGCAGTGTGAAGAGGGGGTGTGGAGGAAGTCCGTGTGGGGCTGGGGGAGAGCAGTTGAAGAGAAGAGGAGGAGGCCATTGAAAGCTGAAAGGGAGCGTCAGTGTGAAGTTAACAAATGGGAGAGTGGAAAGAACAAGAGTAAATTGGAGAACAGGGAAGTAGTGGAGTACAATGCGTGGGACAGTGAAGGTACAGGAAGCATCTGTTTGAAGATAAAGGTGTTGGCCAGACCCCTGGGAGACCCACATCAGTTTAATGCCCCCATTAGTCTGCCTCCATAGTCTAGCCCCTAGTCACCACTGTCCCTGATGATATTCACCCCACTTCACAGATGAGGAAACTGAGGTGCAGAGACCTTACAACTGATTAGGGAAGAGGCCAGGGACTGGGGTGTTGGTGGATGTGGTGACCCTAGAAGCAAGGAGGGTGTTGGGGTTTTGAATGCCACCAGGACCTGCTGAGACTCAAGCCAGTGGGCAGGGAGGAGCCTCCTCAGGGCCTGAGGAGCAGAGGGGTAACATCAGCCAAGGGGAGTTTTTGCAGGTGTGCTGGCTTGATCATGATGAGGGTACATCTCCTGGGGCTGGAGTAAGGGACATAGCACAGGAAACAAAACACAGGCACCCCTCAGGACCACTGTGGGTGACCCACAGAAGTACCAGCATTCTGGGGTCTCTCCCCATTCTCCTACCCTAACCCCACCATTCTCTGCCACCTCTACCACAGTTTCCTCCTAGAGGTTCTCAGTAGATCCCTTCCGGGAGGGGCAGAAAGAAGTAAGGTGGAGTCAATGAGTGTCAGTGGGATCAGCCCCTTGAATATACTCCTAGCCACAGAGCCTGAAGGAGAAGGAAAGCAGGTTTGCTGGTCCTAGGGGCCTCACAGAGGTCCCCGGTATTATATAAATGGGTCAGCAATTCAACTCTTCTCACAGAAGACATAAGAGACGTGGGTTTGATCCCTGGGTCAGGAAGGTCCCCTAGAGGAGGGCATGGCAACCCACCCCAGTATTTTTGCCTCCAGAATCCCATGAACAGGGGAGCTTGGAGGGAGGGCTACAGTCCATGGGGTTGCAAAGAGCCAGACAAGGACTGAAGTGACTCAGCATGCACATTCGCACTCCTAACGTAATTATTGGTAGTAGTTTCGTGTATATACATTTTCCCTTCTTTTTTAAAAATTTTGTAATTTTATATATTTATTTATGGCTGTGCTGGGTCTTCATTGCTGTGTGGGTTTTTCTTTAGTTGCGGTGGCTTCTCATTTCGGAGCACAGGCTCTAGCGCACTTGGGCTTCAGTAGTTGTGATGTAAGGGCTCTGTAGTTGCAACTCCTGGGGTCTAGAGCACCGTCACAGTAGGTGTGGTGCACGAGCCTAGTTGCTCCATAGCATGTGGAATCTTCCCGGATCACAGATCGAACCCATGTCTTCTGCACTGGCAAGCGGATTCTTTACCACTGAGCTACCAGGGAAGCCCCAAACATTTGCAATTGACTTTTATGGTAGGGAAACTTTGGTATTCTTAATTGGGCTAAACATGATTCCACTCCCGCTCTGACTGCCAGTTTTTAAGGTGTGTAATTGTAACTTTCTTTCCTTGTTCTTTTGCTAAGGCTGAATTTTTATGCTACTTGACATTCACACTGAAAGATGAGGATTATTAGCCCCACTTCACAGCTCAGGGAACTGGGGCTCAGATAGGAAAAATGACATATCCATGGCCACACAGCAGAGAGTGGGGAAGCCATGTTGGTGTGACTTAGCTCGGTTTGATTCCAAAGTCCTTACTCTTAACTCTGAGTCACTGAACACAAGAGAGAAAGGGAAATGAGGGGAGAGGGGACAGAAATCCTTCAGAGCAAGAGAGAGAGACCAGAACCTGAGTGAAACACAGGGGCAGGACACAGAGGGACAAAAATTAGGAAAGGCACAGCTCAAACCCCAGTGCAAGACAGAGAGCTGGAGCAGGAGACCTCTGGAAGATGTGAGCTGAGGGACCCACTTGCCAGGGCAGAGGAGATGGAGCTGGGATGGAGGTAGGGCTTCTGAGCTTGCAGCTTGGATGGGGAATAACCCAAGACCTCAGGCCACCTCTCTCTGCAGGAAACTGTGAAACAGTGTGCCTAGATGGGCGGAAGGACAGCCTAAGCTTGACCTCTTAATTGGCCCTTTATCAATACTTAGGCCCCAGTCTAACCCCAGGTAGCAGCTTGTCACAAGAAGGGACTGTCAGAGGACCAGTTCTTGCAGAAACTGGGGGAGAGGGTGAGGGAGACCCAATTTCTGCCTTCTCAGCTCTGGGTCTGTAATCACCTAGGGGCTGACACTCATCAGAAGGTTCAGCTAGAAGTGGAATGCCTTCTTTCCCCACCCCCAACCCCAAGCCTGTGAAGCCTCCCACATCAGTAAGGTCTGGAAGAGAATGAGTCTAAGCCTCCATTCAGGGTCAGAGAGTGAGGGACAGAGTTTGAGGTAGGAATGAGGACAGGGGCCATGTACTCTAACCATTTTCAGTTTGGGGTTCAGATTCTAACTTGGAGGCCAAGTGTGAAGTTACAGCCCCTAAAGTAAGCAGGGAGCTATTGGAAGGGGTCGTTGAAAAGACATACTGCTGCTAACACACAAGATAGACCTGGGCAATTGGATCCCCGTCACCTTCTCCCTTTCCTTGGAAGAAAAGCTGTGATCAACCCAGATAGCATATTAAAAAGCAGAGACATTACTTTGCCAACAAAGATCTGTCTAGTCAAAGCTATGGTTTTTCCAGTAGTCATGTAGGGATGTGAAGCTGAATGCCAAAGAATTGATGCTTTTGAACTGTGGTGTTGGAGAAGACTCTTGAGAGTCCCTTGGACTGCAAGGAGATTAAACTAGTCAATAATCCTCAAGGAAATCAGTCCTGAATATTCATTGCAAAGACTGATACTGAAGCTGACACTCAGTACTTTGGCCACCTGATGCGAAAAACTGACTCATTGGAAATGACCCTGATGCTGGGAAAGATTGAAGGCAGGAGGAGAAGGGGACGACAGAGGATGAGATGGTTGGATGGCATCAGTGACTCGATGGACATGCATTTGAGCAAGTTCCGGGAGTTGGTCATGGACAGGGAAGCCCGACGTGCTGCAGTCCATGGGGTCGCGAAGAGTTGGACACAACTGAGTGACTAAACTGAACTGAACTGAACTGAACGCTGCCTCCATTGTCCTTGAAGTGTATGATCTACCCACCATTCCCACAGTGAGAGGCATTTTCAAGGATGTAGCCTTGAGAGTAATGTGTTATTGAGAATATCTGGATGGTATATGTGGCTGAACCCCATTAAGGCTTCTATATAAACTTTCAAAATGCTGGCAAGCAAGTGCAGAACAGAGATCTACTTGTCTGTGGCTGCCCAAGACAAGCCTTGTAAATAAGTTCCCTTGCTTACTAAAGCTGCCACCTACTGATCTGAGGTAGTCTGCCTCTTCTGTCTTTTCTCGTCCTCCATTTACAGGGGGTGGGGTGGGGGGCACAGTTTATGAAACAACAGGAGCCAGGATCAAGACCTTGGGGTGGGTGGGCTCCCCTCAGTCATGAGGATGGAAGATCATGCCCGGAGCAAATAGACTGGGGTGAGTGAGTTCCTGGCAAATGTGCTGCTGTGTGGGACAACCCTACCCCTGCCCCAGGCTTCCATTATACCCAGCCTTGGGGAGAGGCACCATTTCCATTGAACAAACATGAGTGGGGCTCTCTGAGTTGGCGACATGGCAGATCTGTACTCCCAACTTCCCTGCCTATGTCAGACATTGCTAATCAATCACAATCTCTGCTCAATCTGGACTAGGGCTCAGAATCCTCTTCCTCAGACAACCTGTGCCAATTCCTCAGAGGTAGCATGTGAGATGCTAACCATTTGCCACCCTTGGCCCTGACATCCTGGAGTTTATCAAGCGGAGAGGGGCTGGGTAAAGACCACTTCACTGCTTTATTGGAAGGGGAATACACTCCGTCACAATGCAAGGCCCTGAGCCCAGCAAGATCTCGAGTTCGAGATGTAGCTGGTTGGCCGTGACTCTGTAGTAGCCCTTGATGAAACCCCGGGAAGTGCAGGAGTGGCACCTCCAGTAGGCCTGGATGATGCGGGCGGCACTGAGCAGACGGCAGTACCGCCAACGGATGCGCCACATGCGGACCCAGGACTGCAGCCTGACTGCTGCCCACTCCTTCCGTGTAAAGTTCTCCAGAGCTGCCCGCCGCCTGTTCTCCTGCAGCCGCATCAGCTTGACCCTCCACCAGCTCTGAATGATCCACACTCTGAGCGCCGCGTGCAGTAGCGTCCTGCGCACCAGAGTGCCCCGCCACCAGGCCTGAATCTTTACTGCTTCTGGATCACTGACAGGACGCTTATTTTGGGTTTTTGTGACCTAACGAGAAAAAAAAAGGAGACATTGAGAGGATATTCCCCACCCACTTCAGCCCCAGGATGTGCCACGAAGGGTCCCTGATACCCTATGAGCAATCACTCCTCCTCTGAACCTCAGGAGCACTGTGCAAGATGCTGGCTGGACCCACAGGCCAAGTAGGTGTCCTTTCTCGTTCCCCTCTGGTTAATGGGCATGGATACATCATATCAACCTCTGAATCTCAGAGCACCCATCTATAAAACGTGAGTATATGTGTCCTGGTTAGCCTGTATTTTTTTTAAATTAATTAATTTTAATTGGAGGCTAATTACTTTACAGTATTGCAGTGTTTTGCCATACATTGACACGAATCAGCCATGGGTGTACATGTGTTTACCATGCTGAACCCCCCTCCCACCTCCCTCCCCATCCCATCCCTCTGGGTNCACCCCCTCTCCAGCATTTATTGTTTGTAGATTTTTTGATAGCAACCATTCTGACTGGCATGAGATGGTACCTCATTGTGGTTTTGATTTGCATTTCTCTGATAATGAGTGATGTTTAGAATTTTTTCATGTGTTTGTTCTGGCTACCCAGTATTACATGGGTCAAGTTGGCCAACCTTAGGCCAGAATTCCATGATCAGAGTGTTATCAAAGTCCACCTGAGACTGCCCACCCTAACCAGGATCTATGACTCTTCCCTTCAGACCCCGCATACCTACTGAAGAAATGGCTTCCTCTGCTATCCTGCCCTTTCATCCTTGGTTCCAGCTCCAATTCACATCCTGCTCTCTTCCTCTGCACTGTCATAGTGTTTAAAGTTTCCCCCATCCCATAAAATACTGCCCCTCATCTCTTCCTCATCTTCACTTCTCTTGACTTTCAAACTTTAAATGTTAATCAGCAAGCAAATATACATGCACACATGCTCAAACACACACAGACACACACCATTGATTAAACCCAGCTTCTAAATAGAATATTGGCCATTCCATTCCACAAACACAACTCCCACATTTGCACTCCCAGCCCCATGTCATCTGGGTGAAGGGATCATACTGCTCGTGATCTCTTATCAGCATCATCCACTCCCTTTGTTGCTGCTTTGTTCTCTTATTTAGCCTTTTTTAAAAAATGGGAAAGGGGGACAGATAAGAAAGAGTTTATTCATGTTCTTGGCTCTGGAACATACCAAAGACACTAGCCACACTATTAGGACATAAAGCCCGAAGACATCCAAGTCGGGGCTCCTCTTACCTCTGCCTTCTTTGATGTCGGCAATGGTTTTGAGGGTACACTTTTCTCCATCAGCCCCTTCTCCTGAGGCTCATTTTTAGTGTTTTCATCAACTGTCTTAGGCTGGTCTGTCTCCTGCAATCAGCAGATAGAGGAAAGGCAAGAGTGAGGCTGCTCTCCCTCTTTCTCCAGTAAGCAAGCCACACATCCCTAGTATACAGTACTTCCCAGAGTAGTCAGAAGTTAGGGGGAGTTCTCTCACCCTGAGATTTGTGGGGACATCCCCAAAATGCCTAGTGTGTCAGTCTCTGTCTTACTCACCATTGGTTCCACATGGATTGGGTGTAGATGGTTCAAATCCCCTCAGGTCTGTGTTCCTCTAGTCATGGCATGGGAGAAAAGAGTCAGGGTGGCAGACCTGTGATGTCATAAGGGCAGTTATGACTCAAGGACCAACATGGCTCCCAAGAGTTAAGCCCCCTCCAAAGAAGAGGCAACAGTGCTATCCATTCTCTTCTGCTGGAAACGGCCAAAAGCAAGACACTGGAAAGAGTGGCCCATTGACATAAAGGTGTATAAAGATAGTCATTAGTGACATCCCCAGTTGATAAAATCGGGCACTGATCTAATGGTTTATAGTCCATTTATACTATAGCCTATAACATAACTGTTGAAAAATAATTAATTTTATCTATATGTGCTGATGAGAAAGTGTATCCAAGATGTATTTGTAAGTGAAAAAAGCTGAACATCGTTATGATCCCATTAGATGAGATATAAAACCATCATTGGATGGGAATGGTAAAAAACCATCAAGGTGTATAATTATACATATATGCTATCAATGCAGATACAGAGGGAGAAAGGTATGTACACCAAACTGCTACCAATGATTACCTTAGGAGAGAAGAGTTGAATTGCTGACCCATTCATACAATACAGGAGAACTCTGTGAGGCCCCGAGGACCAGCAGACCTGCTTTCCTTCCCCCTCAGGCTCTGGGGCTGGAAGCATATTCAGGGGGTCGATCCCATTGACACACTCACAGACCCCTTCCTTTCTTCTCTTCTTTCCACTCTTCCCTGAAGAGGTCTCCTTAGGACTTCTGCTAGAGGTGGAGAAGAATGGTAGAGAAGATGGGTGCTGGAGAAGGAAGCTCGCCCCCATCACGCTCGCCCCAGGCCCCGTTCTTGAACAGTGTTCCCCTTCTGCTCCTCGACCCCTAGGGCAGCTCCTCCCTGCCCACTGGATTGAGTCTGAGTCAGTCCTGGTGGCATTCAAAGCACCAGTATCCTCCCTGCCCCTAGGGTCACCACATTCACCAGCACCCCATGCCCTGACCTGTCTCCTGATTGAGTCTCCCTCCACCCTGGGACTCAGCTCCTTTGTTTGCCAGGGCTCCTTATGTGCAATCATGCCTGTGTCCTTAGAGTGCAGGGGCTTTAATTTCTCCCCTCACTCCTCAGATGCTCACGGATCCAGCTATGAGGAGCATGTGTTTAGTGACCATTCGTTTATCTCCTTTTATGAAGTATTGGTTTAAGTCTTTATTCCACTTTTATTGGGTTGCTTGTCTTCATTACTGAGTTGTAGAAGTTCTTATACTCTGGATATGAGGCCTTTGTCAGATACATGTATTGTAAATGTTCTTCTCCCCAGTCTGTGACTTTTTAAGTGCTGTCTTTTGATGAACAGATGGTTTTAATTTGGATGAAGTCTGGTTCTATCAATATTTTATACTGAGTGCTTTCTCTGCCCTAAGAAATCTTTGTCAACTCCAGGGTCACAAAATATTTCTCATGGGTTTTCTTCTAGAAGCTTTATATCAGCTTTGCTTAATTTTTGTTTAGGTCTATGATCCATCTTGAATTAATTTATTTTTGGCTATGATGTTAGATAGGAGTCAAGTTTTCTGTTCCATTGAAAAATACATTTCCTAAAAAAAAAAAAGAAGGAAAAATACATTTCCTTTCTGCATTGACTTAGCTTGGTACATAAAAAAATCAATAGACTGTGTAAATGTGAGTCTATTTCTGGCTTCTCTATTCTGTATCATCGATCTGTTTGTCTCTTCTTACATTCTTCTTACCTGTCCTGATTACTGTAATTTTATAGTTTTTCAAGACAATAAGTCTTGAAATTAGATAATGTATCTCCTTCAACTTTGCAATTTGGTATCAAGAATTTCACAACTTCTCATACAGTTGATTTCTGTATACCGTAACCCTTGAATCTTTCAATTTCAGGTATGCTTTTAATTTTGATTAACAGCTTTGTTAGAATGTATAAAAATGCAGATGCTATACAATTCATCCCCTTAAAGTACATGGTTCAATGGTTTTAATTTTTTTAATGTTTCGGCTGCGTCGAGTCTTACTTATGGCACACGGGGACTCTGTTGTGGCGTGGGGGCTTCTCTCTAGTTGTGCTCACCAGCTGGGTAGTTGTATGTGGGCTCGGTTGCCCTGCTGCATGTGGGATCTTTGTTCCCTGACCAGGGATCAGACCCGCATCCCCTGATTGGAAGGTGGATTCTTTTTTTTTTTTAATGTTTCACATACTTACCACTGAGCAAACGGATCCCTAGTGCGGAAACGCCCACAGCCAAACATTCCATTTCTCCCATAAAATACTTGTGAGTTGTTCAGACAGTGGTGATGTTCTCATTGCCTTGATTCCCTTAAGATGCACGTGAACTTGACACAGCATAAATGTTTGCCACTTCATATGTGAGACTCCTTATATCCCCAGCTTGGATCTTCTCCTGCGTCCTCTCTTGGAGCTTTGCCTGATTTTATTACTAGTTTTCATTTGAATCCACTAGGGAATGGGATGATTGTTTTTGTTTCCTGGCCAGAAATCGCCTGTCTTGTGAGAAGACATAGCGAGGAGCAAATTTAACTGAACATAAGATAGGATGGCAGAGAAAAGACCGAAAGGTGGATTCTTAACCACTGGATCACCAGGTAAGTCTGTATCCGATGGTTTTTAGTATATTCACAGATACATGCACACAATACCATGAGTATCTTGCATGTTTGCTAAATTTCCTTATTCCTGTATTTTTTTGGGGGGGTAGACTAGGGGTGCTTGTAGGCCAGTTGGGGGATCTGGAGGTGAGGCATCCTCAGTGACATGGGCAGGCTTCCTGATGGAACCTGTGGTTAGTGGGATCTGTATCCTTTGATACGTTTTAAGCCCTACCTGCTGTTCTTTCAGCCCCTCCCCACCCTTAGGTCAAGCTGGTCACATGTTTTAGGAATGAGAAACGCACACCTCAGTGACCCTGGGGCTGTGATCTGCGGAAGTCCCAGGGCCTCACGATGACCAGGTGGGTCTGCAGAGGACAGAAATAGGCAGAGCCAGGAAGGGCCCCACCTGGTATCTTTTGCCTGGTTCAGAGCTACAAACAGAGCCAAGGGTTTCTACAGGGGCTCACCTCACCCTCACCTGTGGTCTTGAGTCCGTCAGGGGTGGAAGACAGGAGAGCTCTTGAGCCCATTGGAGTGGGAGGTGGCAAGCACAGTGCAGCTCCCCTGAGTCACATGGCTTCGTATTATAAAACAGAGCAGTGAGCTCACTGCCTGCTCAGCTTCTCTGCAACTGCTGGACACTGCAGACTAAAGTCTTGATCCTCCTCCTCAATCCTGCTTTCCCCACTTTGTCTTCCTCATCTTCATAAATGTCACCACTGCCTACTATGTTGCCACCTTCATCTCGTTGCACAATCAACACATCAACAAGATCTGCTGACTTCTCCAAACACATCCCTAACAGCTCTGTCTCCTCGTTCCTGCCGCTGGGCCCTCTCACACCTCCATCACCCCTTACCTGATATTACTATAGCTTCTTAAGTGGCCACCCTTCTTCCTCCAAACCTCTACTAATTAATTCTCCACAAGGCAGCAAGTTATTTTGTCTTTACTGCGAACCAGCTCATTTTACGTTTTTGCTTTCAACCCTCTCATGGCTTCCCATTGCCTGGAAGGAAGGGAGGGAGAATGGGAGGGAGAGCCCAACTACAGTCTCAGCTGACCAAGGCCGAGAATAGAAGCCATAGGAGGGATTATTTTCAGTTTAAATTCCAAGGGCATTTATTTTCGTTCTCCCTGGGAATGTGCTAATGGAAAAGGGGTTTGTGGATTAAGGGGCATCTCCATATTACTTGCAATATTGTTCAGGAGGTGTGTATCCCATCATTGAGCTCAATTTAAGGTGGGGACATAGGGAGTGAATTCTAGTAACATCCTCTGACCCATAACAAGATTTTCAGGGATTTGGTCTGAACCTGACCCTTCAGGCCCCAAGAGAATGAAAGGAGCAGCTCTGTCCAAGGGCGAGGCCTGGGGGGACTGAGGTGGTGGTGGGGGGGGG